GCTTCTCTTTTTATAGCCTGTAGAATACCTTCTTGTACCAATGAGACTAGAATGTAGGGGTGAAGCCTCCATGCAGGCACCAGCTTGCCCTCTTTCTGTGTTCAATGAGCTGTGTCACTGATACTGTCCTCAGCAATGGGGCCTCCACTGCACGATATATTTTTTTTTCTTTTGGATTTTTGAGACAGGGTTTCTCTGTGTAACAGTCCTAGCTGTCCTGGAACTTACTTTGTAGACCCAGCTGGCCTCAAATTCACAGAGATTCAACTGCCTCTGCCTCCCTAGTACTAGGATTAAATGCACCACCATAGTCCAGTAACATAAATTTTTAAAATCTTCATTAGAATCAAACTCTCCACAAGCACAGTTGAAGATGGGGGAGATTACTGGGAGGAGCCTTAGCCAAGAAGACATTTTGTGAGTAATAGAGTTCAAATCTAGATCCATGATTGTGGTTCTAACTCCATTCCAAGTACATGAAGGCAAGTGTCGTGAAGTGAGACCAGAAGAGCGCTGATGAAGGGTCAGGAATCGCCATCCTTCTGTGTAGTTTCCTTTCATCCCCATGGACCATGACAGTGCACATTCCATGCTGGGAGGTAAACAAATGACCATTCATTAAATGTCTGAATGAGAAAGTGAGTAAGACAAAGAACCTAGAAATCAAAAGGAGAAACAGAGAATGTGAAGGGGAAGAACAGACAGACAGAAGAGGGAATGATGGTAGGAAGAGCTGGGGAGGAAAGACTCAGGGAGAATCAGAGAAGAGAGAGAGGAGGAGGAGGGGAGAAAGACACAGGGATGGAGGCATTGGAGAATGACAGAGCAGGAGCAATCAGGTGGAAAGCTTCAGGATGTGTGCCAAGGGAGGGAGCTGAGGGAGAGTTCCAGCCAATGGGAAAGCAAGTGACAAGAACAGTGGTCCCTGTCGTGCAGCCAGGGCAGTCAACCCAGGCTGGCTTCAGTGTAAGGATGGTGTACAATGGGCTCACAGATAGGAGTCCCTAGTCACATCTGCATGGAGTTCGTCATGTAAATGTTGGAGAAGCTCATATATACTAAATATGACCCGTGTCCCCCAGTCTAAGTATAATGGTCCTTCTATGCTGCACATTCACTGCAGAGACACCTCTGTACCATTGTCCCCTGTGACTCCCCTGACCACTCTCTCTACTTCCTCTGCCCAAGCTCAATTAAGCCTACAAATTCCATTTCCCCAGTGTTACTTCCCACTGGCCCTGGTCCTTCTTCATGCTGTCTCTTGCCACATAAGATGGAGAAGCTGTACTTCAGAGACCAAAAAGGGGGGCACCTGGTGGCCATAAAAGGGAGAGCCTGCAGCTGCCACTGGAAAGCAAAGGCTGTGACCGACTCAGGACATATCTGTCATACATCAGAACCAAGAGCATTCTGGAAGTAGGACAGAGGTTCTTTCCATCTGAGTTCCTTCAGAAGAGGCTATGAGATCAGCTTAGTGCTGAGGACTGGCAAGGCCAGTGCTAAATACAGGTTGCCTGTGACAACAAAGTGGTCCTGAATGCATGAGTGAAGAGCTAGCCTCTAAATGAAGTCTGTGTGGAGGTACTGATGGGAGAGACAGAGAAGGGCAAGCCCACCACAGCCTGTCCAAGTTCTGAAGGCAGGCTCCCCACACAAGACCACTAGAGAAGTTCATTATTCCAAGGCTACTCAACAAACCAATAACATCCACTTATATTGATGTGTACCTAAAAGATGCCTTATTTCAGGTATTCATTCACTCACTCACTTACTCACTCACTCACTCACTCACTCATTCATTCATTCATTCATTCATTCATTCTTCATAAATGGTTCTGTAAAGTCCTGTTAGAAATTTCACGAGAAACAGTGGAGACCCATGGAAAAAGCTTTTACTCAGGAAGACAGGGGCTAGATGAAGGGGCAACCCAATTTGTAAGTATGAAGTATTCTACTATATGCTATTATATTATTAATAATATTATGTAATATATTATTTTATGAAGAAATTATATTAAGTAATGTTATTATATACTATATTACTATATAAAATAGTATATCGTATTATTGTATAATATATTGCTCCATAATGCATTATCCTATTACATATTATAGTCTATTTTTTTTATAATTTACTTTTATTTCATTTGTATTGGTGTTTTGCCTGCATGTCTGACTGTCTTATGAGAGCATTGAATCCTCTGGAACTGGAGTTACAGACAGTTATAAGCTGCCATATGGGTGCGGGAAATTGAACTCGAGTCCTTTGGAAGAGCATCCAGTGCTCTTAACCGCTGAGCCACCTCTCCAGCCCCATATTCTATTATTATATAATGCATTAAATATGCTATGCCATACTGAACTGCACTGTATTGCATTATATTCCTTCATTTATTCATCAAGAATTTATGTGTCATGTGTTCTTCTAAGCTTTTTTTTTTATATTGCAGGTTATTCTAGAGAGTTTTATGTCAATTTGTCATCATCTAAGGTCATCTGAGAGGAGGGAACCTCAATTTAGAAATGCCTCCATAAAAATCAAGCTGTATACAAGCCTGGAAGGCACTTTCTTAGTTAATGATTGATGGGGAAGTGCCCAGCCCATTGTGGGTGACACCATCCTTGAACTGGATGGAGGTCCTGGGTTCTGTTGGAAAGTAGCCTGAGGAAGCCAGAGGGAACAAGCAGTAAGCGGTCCCCCTTCATTGCCTGTGCATCAGCTCCTGCCTCCAGGTTCCTACCCTGCTTGAGTTCCTTTCTGACTCCCTTCAAGGGTGGACTACAATGTGGAAGTGGAAACCAAAAAAAAAAACAACAACCTTTCCTCCCCACCTTGCTTTGATCATGGTGTTTTACCACAGCAATACTAAACCTAATTAGGACACAGGTCCTTTGTATACATATTAGGACTTAGGGGTTTGTATTTTTATAGGATTCCCGTGTGTGAACACCTGTGTCTCTGCATCTATGTGGCATTTCCTGGACCTTTTCTTTGTCTTTTTCCTTCTTTGGTTTTTCTGTCCTATTCTGATTTGTTTGTTTGTTCTTTATTATTTTATTTTTATTCCCCTAGTGATTCTTTGTTTCCTAAGGAGAGACAGAAGGATGTTGACTCAGAAGGGAGGGGAAATGGGGAGAAACTCAGAGAAGTAGGGGGCCTGGAAACAATAACCAGAAAATACTGTATGAAGAAAAATTATTTTCAAAGAAAGAAAAATAAAGGAAAGATGGGGTTCCTCAGACAGGAGGAAGCTTGAGGTCGGAAGAATGAGGAGTCGCGCACTCAGAAGACTCGGGAGCAGACTCCTTTGCAGAAAGCATCCAAGACCCACAGTCCTTTATGTTTTTAGTGAGAATCCGTCAGGACCTTGGCCCCTGCTCATGAGTTCTAACTCCTCTCACATAAGTGAGCTTTCTATAAAAGAGTGAGTGCCCCCTTTCTCTCTTGTGTTTTCACCTTCTCCTATGAGATGATGCAGTAGGAAGACCTCACAATGCCAGGCTCTTGACCATAGACTTCCCAGCTTCCAAATCTGTGAGGAAACCAACTCCCATTCCCTCTTATATCACCCAGCCTGCTATTCTACTTCAGGGACACAAAGCAAATAAGTGGTCATAGCAACTCTACAATCTTCATGACCTGATTCTCTAGAGTTACCACTAACTGGATCTAAATCTAGTGTCCCCTCCCATCATATGCTGTATAAAGTAGTCAAGTGAGTTCCCCTCTCAGAGCCTTAGACAGAATGTAGACTGGATGATTGTCAGTGTCAAATAAGAGATCGTACGTAGCCTGAAGTACTGTGTAAACTGTGAACTTATATGCATATGAATGGCATTGACAATGTCAAGCTTATCAGTGGGGTTCAGAGTGCAAATGCCTCATCGGAGGGAGAAGAGTTCAGTGACAGTTGTCACAAGAGAACCTGTGAAAATTTTGGGAGCTAAATGAGGACCGGTAGTGGCAGGTGTCACACTACACCATGTGAGGGAAATTCCAGCATTATTCAGAACATTTTTTTTTTTTGTCCTTGCAAAAATCCTTGGCTTATCCAAGGGCCAGTGGAAATTTATTTTTTTCATCCTTTTCCATCTTTCCTCAAGTGGCTTTTCCTTGTGAAATGCCTGACATGACACCAGAGGGGAACCTGGGAGAAGAGGCTCCCTCCCAGAGGGTCAACCCAGGGATTTAAATACACACTGGAAGGGAGGGAAGGGTGTAGGGTAAGAACAGCAAGAAGACAGCACAAAGGACATGGATTATTAGGTAAAGACCAAAGGTTTTCTGCAGGAAGTGGTGCCAGGGGGTGGGGGCCTGGATTCTGAGTGGGGATGGGGCAAAGAGTCCCACAACCCCAAGTGTCCCCCATATTCCCCAGAGAAGGAGGTCTGGCCCCCTCAGGCTCTGAGGAATGGAGGGAGAAGAAGCCAGATGTGCTGCCTCAAGGAAAGAGAAGTGCTCCTGGCAGAGAGAGGGTCAAGGCTGGTGCCAGGCCTTTGGCACAGTGGACCTTCTGCCTCCACCTTTCTCAGGGACAAAGGGGCTTGGTGAGCAGGCAACACATGGGCCTGGCTCTGGCAGGGCAGGGCAGGCAGATGCAGGCTCCCTCTGTGCTTGAGACACTGCCAGCTCACCTACCCTAGTTGCACTCAAGACCCAGCAGCAGCTGAGTGTGGGAGCCGTAGAGGGAGTCAAGGGTAAGGAAAAGGTGGGCTCTGATAGCCCCCTCCCCTGTCCTGAGGTCTGATGCAAGACCCTGGATCCCCTGGCTACTGCCTGCAGCCAGGGGCAGCAGAGGGAGGGAGGCCCTCAGCTATTGGGAAGGAAGAAAGGAAAAGAGAAACCCACTGCACCATGCATGGGGGTGAGTGACAGACAGCGGAGCCCTCATTCCAAAGCAAAGTGTGGTGGGCGTCTTCTCAAGGTACCTAGAGGCAGCAGCAGAGCAGTCACTGTGACTACCCCCAGCCACAAGGCCTGCATGTCCTCCATGGGGGCCCTGACAGAACTGGGACTCAGAGCAGAAGGCAGATGGGCCAGAGCACGATGGGGAGCCCAGGACACCCCAAAGCCACAGACTCAAATGCCCTAGGAGAAGAAGGCACTTCCTGACCCCTCCAGGGGCTTCATCTGGAGAAGGTGTCCCTTCCCGAAATGCCCCTCCTAGCAACAGCCACCACTAGCTAGATTCACAGGGGTGCTGTCGATCTTGAGGTTGGGCTGTTCACCCCCAGAAGCTGCTCCTGGCTCCATCTGCTTTTTGATCTCTACAGACATCATCATGAATGCTTACTCAACATTGGTGGCATTCTTGGCACTGGTCTCCAGGAAGGGGATACCCAAAGAGTCTGCAAATTCCTTGGCTGTGGTGTTGTCCATGACCTTCTTGGTTGCCTACCAGGCAGGAGTTTATTGACGTTCTCACTGGCATAGCGATCTATCTCCTGTAGCCACTGTTTCAAATTAGCATAGGATTTCTAGTCAGTGACGTCATACACCACGATGACGCCGTGAGCCCCCCTGTAGTAGCTGGAAGTGATGGTCCGGAACTCTTCCTGATGAGCTGTGTCCCAAATACGAAGTTTGATGGTTTTGCCCTCTGGCTCAATGGTTCGGATTTTGAAGTCCACCCCAACAGTGCTGATATAGCTCTCTGTGTACGTGTCATTAGCAAACCACAGGAGCAGGCAGACTTGCCCATGCCCGAGTCGCCAAACAAAAGCAGCTTGAGCAGGTCAGTGGTGGTGCATGCCTTTAATCCCAGCACTCAGGAGGCAGAGCCAGGCAGATCTCTGTGAGTTCAAGGCCAGCCTGGGCTACCAAGTAAGTTCCAGGAAAGATGCCAAAACTACACAGAGAAACCCTCTCTTGAAAAAAAAAAAAAGAAAGAAAGCAGCTTGAACAGGTAGTCATACTCAGGGTTCATGGCAGCAGCGGTCACCCACTGGGTCTCTCCCAGTTGGCTCTGCTGCGCCTCCCTGCCTCCCCAAACATTTGTGTTCTTGGGTCAGCAATATAGCCCATACTATACTGCCTATTGGAATGGAAAGTTCCCAAAGTAGAACTCAAAATGCTTAATAGCGCACCCTGTAGCTCTTCATTCACCCCTCATTTCTACATGGCTGCAGCCTGAGTCTGGATGTCCCCAAGGACCCACACATTGAAGGTTTTCTCTCTGGCTTGTCACTGTTGAAAAGTAGTTAAATGTTTCAAGAACTGGGGGCTACTGGGAGTCCTTCACGTCCTTGAGAGGAGTTGTGGGGTTTCAGTCTCACTCTACCTTTTGCATTCCATTGCTTTGTTCCACTCACCCTTCAGCCACAATGGGAGACTTCCGCACAGGCTCACAGTGACAGACAGCTGATTCTGGACTGATGTTTCCGAAACCATGAACCCGAATGAACCTTTTCTCTTTAGAACTTGATTTCATCTCAGATTTGATTCAGTCACAGGAACCTGGCTGGCACATGTACCTTTCCATTTTCCTAAGTAAGTCTTAACACCAAACAAGGATGTGGAGGGGGCTGGATCCTCTAATATCTGTCAATGCAAGTTCCACAAAAAACAAGAAGACCCTTGGGTATACTTGCTGCCTGAATTATCTTTAATCTGTCACTGAATGCACTTCTCACTGACAGGGATCAAGCAGGTACTCATACCAGGTCTGGAGGGGTCAGGCAGGGATAACAATAAAACACAACTGAAGGACCCCTCTCCGTGTGGCAGCATGTAAGTATATGTAAACACAAGAAAATATGGCTCTTTGTCCATCATAGCGTAGTGGTGGTGACATGTCTCATAACTGGCATTCAAGTCCAACCATGTCTTCAGTGCTTGTTTGTCAAAGCATACCAAAATTTGGGTATCTAGCCTGGCACAGGCATTCGTTTCTTCATTCAGAAGCAGGCCTTCAGCATGACCCTTCTCTGACCCCACTGCTAAGAGTCCACTACACACAGTTACATTCAGTCTTCCAACTTCTACTGAGAGTGAGAGCCATCTTTGTTTATTACATATCAGAAAACGGGGCGGGGGGGGGTGCACATGGGCAAACACAGCATCCAAAGTCCCTGACTGAAGATTCAAACCCAGGCCACCAATTACTGATTCTCTGCTTTGTTTGATTCCTGTGCTGTGCTGAAAATCAAATGGCCATGTACGGTCTGTGATTTCAAACATGCAAAATTGTTGAGGCTCTTATCCTATGGTCTCACACTCCCAGAGAAGCCTATGTGAAATCAAAACTGAATAGTTAATATTATTGACTTTCCCAGGGTCTGTAAGACCCTTATAATCCAGGGACCAGGCCTTATTCAGCTTTCTACGTTAGTGCCGGTTTCCTGACTGTCAGTTGAAAAACACGAGTTAATGATTAAATACAGAGGTTGGATTTGGTACAGCCGGTCAAAAGTACTGAACATACAAAATCTAGACTCTAGGCACAGGAAACTAGAAAAGGGTGACCCAGGACCTTCTGAATGGTTAACACTCCTCCATCTTTTGTAATTTCATTGTATAAATCTAATATAAATGAATTAATAATATAGTAACAGTAGAATTATTTTATCATGCTATTTTACATCCATGTTGATGCGTGTCTCACTTTTGTCTTACAACTAGAATCCAACCCAAGGTACCTCCATGTGCTAAAATCTAGAAGCATTGCCTTTGACACAGCCCATGGGGGCTCTGTCAAGTCTGAGGCACATCTCCCATGTTGTGAGAGGTACGTTGAAGGAAAGAAATAATTATGCTTGGAAGCAAAGGAAGGCTGCATGTCTTATTAATAGCTGAGATAAATTGTGCATACCATTGCAGTTCAGTTGATAACGATTCGTCAAACTTTGTTACTAACGTCTTAAAAAGCTGATGTGAGTCATGGAGAGCTATTTTGCACAAGATTTGTCACCTTGATCAGAAGGGGAAATGAATTACTAAATATAAAATGCCATTCTGCTGTGATTCATCGCTCTTTCAAGCTGACAGATGTCATAAAGAAATGCAATCTTTTCTCTCTCTCTAAAAAAACGCAGTAAAGGGTTAGTTCCTTCATCCCTTATCAGCTGAGGAGGGATCAGAGGATTGCCTGAGAGTGAAGTACAAGGAATCACTGTGTCATCTCTGCTTCCTGACAATGTTCACTTTGGGAAAGAGGCCATAATCTACATGCACAGTTTCCAAGGAAATGACAGCTCCCAAATGTCATTATCCTCACCTTAGGATGCTACAAATGGCTGTTTCCTTCCCACAAGACACAACAATTATATTAGAAAACTGGAACATATGCAATCTCTCTCCATCTGACAGTGAACTTCTTACATAATCACAGCATATACAGATTACCTTCTATTTACCTAAGAGTTCTGATTGGCTTTATGCAAATCTCAAGGTATCCCTCAAGATCTCTTGGGTGAGAGGTGTAGAGGTATGAATGTGAAGCTCAAAAAGTGGCAAGCAATTAGTCAGAAAACCAGAAGATGAAGATTCATTCTTAGTGTGTGCACTCTTGGCAAACAGTGAACAGAATGCATTGAGAAACTTACAGCCCCAGGAGTCTCTGGTGACAAAGAAACTGGTAGCTAGGTATTTATGACATGTGTATTATAATCTAGGATCAGGTATAAAGTTTTAGCTTTTCTACTTACTAATAGCCCAGCCTAGACATTAAACTATTACAAGGCTCTGGTGTGTGTGTGTGTGTGTGTGTGTGTGTGTGTGTGTGTGTGTGTGTGTTTCATTCATGGTATTTTTCCTAAAAGATTCTTTTACCTTGTTCATTCAACAGAAAAGAACTCAGGATGTCCTACTTAACATTATCACTATGAATAAAAAAAATATGCAAAGAATTTTGCATGATGCTATTTCATTAGAAAATACTACAATAAAGTTTGTATAAATGGCACCAAAACCCCAGTAAGGACTGTGCCCTCCAGTTCAAACTGCCCTCCATATACATGTTTTCTCAACTACACAGTTTCTGTCATGAGAAACTGGAGCACTAGATCCATAAAGACATTAACGGGGGAGCAAACCTTCTAGGAACTTTCCATTTGCCAGTGTCTGTTTATGAACATCTCAGTCTCTATGACATCACTCTCCCAGGTAGATTCATAACTCTGGCATCCTTTTCCTCTTCTTACACTCGTCTGTCTTTACTCACCCCCAAGGGGTCTTCTATCCATCACTGTGATTCTGCTAAATCTCTTGCTAGGTGATGGGAGAGTATCTCTTGTTCTTGGCCACTGGCATGCCGCTGAGCCCCATGCCTGTATCTCCTGACTAACCTTCTCTTTAGCTTCATTCTGCTTTATACACACCTTCTGCCAGGCTGCCCTAACTGATTTTTCCACAAGCTTTTCACTGTGTTCTTCCCATAAGCTCTAACATTGTCATCTAATGAAGGTAACCTGAAGGCCATCTCTATGCATTTCTCAACTTCACCTGCCACATCCTCACCTGTCAGTTACATAATCCCATCTTGCCCCCTAAATATTTCTTTAATACATCCTAATTCATCATTTCTCTTCCAAAAACTCAAAATGAGTATATTTACCTCCTCACCCGCCTTCTGCATATCATTTTTCCTTCCGACATCCAGCCTCCCATCTTATCTATGTTCTACTCAGAAACCACAGTGATCTTTCTAACAGGAAAGTATGATTGAGTCACCATCCCTACTTTAAGCCTCATGGAGACTCTCATGGCCTGTGGCCACATTTCCCTCATCTTGTGCTGCCAAAAGCCCAGAATGAAGCAGCCTGGGGCAGACACAGATGGCTGTGGAGACTGCCACTGGCTATCCACTGTCCCTCTCACCAAGTACTGAATAAATTGGTATAGCAAGAGCCTATTTAATTTTTTAGTCTTGTTATTTTCAAACTTCCCCAGTCCAGTGCTATAGTTGCAATATCTCAAAAGCCTCTGTCCTCTGGCTTAAATTTGTTTCTGGAAGGGTTTCAGTGGTCTCTGTGAGTCATGCTTGTCTTCTCAGCTCACCTTATACCAATTCCTGCTCAACACTGCAGGCCAAGAGAATGATCAGCAGGAACAGAAAGTCTGCTTCCCTGTCCACTGGCCTCTTCCTCAACCCATCAGCTAGCACTGGGAGAACCTGACTGTTCTACAAGAGCCAGATAGAGCAGTGAGTGGGAAATGGTGGCGTTGGAGGCAAACATGGAGGTCGAACTGGAATGGCTATTGTGGGCGGCAACTTACTAGACCTTTCCAGGTTCTCATTTCCTCAGTTGTGAAAATGGTAGCAATAAATCTTATCTCCTGGATTTGTTATGGGGATTAAATTGTTGTTGTAAGGCTATGCATATGTGTGTGTATGTATGTATGTATGTATGTATGTATGTATGTATGTATTCATGTATGTATCCATTTGAGCATCTATTCTCTGACGAAGATGTCTGCATATCCTCAGGTAATGTTATAACTCAGTAGGTAGACCTCCAGGAGAAAGAGAAATGCCCTCAACCCTTTTGGGGTAATGGGTTCCTTGGGTAGGTGTAACATAAAAATCATCAGGCAGATTAGTAAGAGGAAAGTACATGTTCTGTTAATTTTTGTCTACATTTGTGCACTGGTAACACTTTGATAGCTTTAGAGGTACCAAAATACATTAGTGTCTCACTGAGGAAAGAGTTCAAAGACTTTTTGGCATAACTTGACCAGGAGTGAGTCCAAGTTTGAATTCTTCTCTTCTCTCCCTATATCTTCCATCTGTCTGTGTAGGTTACAGTTTCTACCCTATCTGTATTGTTATATGAGTCTGAATCTATGCCTACCTGAATGTTGTCTTGGGAATGTTTCCCTAAAAGGGCTTTGCTCTCTTTTACTGAACAACACAGAAAGCATCACATGGGGAAGGAATGAGGGATGTTTTACAGACATCTTTAACTGGGTTTTAGAGGGGATAAAACTTTACTGACTCCAACGGACCCTAACTGACCCAGATAACAATCCATACTGCAAACATCACTGCAAAGAGACTATATCACATTGCTTTAAACATTTATGAATGTTTGTTTTATAAGGCTGTTTTTTTTTTACCTGTTTGCTGTTTACAGAAATTATTACAACATACACACAAGCACCTGCACACCTCTCTCTGGGTCAGGCGCTCCCTGGGTCATGGGTATGCAAGAGTATATATATCTTCAAACTGAAGCTATGGATTAGCTTAGGTTGTAAAAGCTGACTGCTTGGGAAATCCGAGACAAGTAAGTAACTGGCTGTCACATTGTTCTCTTAAAGGCTGGTTTAAACACACAGGCTGAGTACACAGTAGGATATCAGTCCTCGGGTTTAAGTGACTCAAGGTATATTGTTAACTCAGCTGTGAGGCCCAACAAAACTCCCAGTCCCTTTGAATATAAGACATATTTTCATATTAATTGCATGTCCACACCTATCTCGAAAGGACAG